AATTGCGGCACTTCAAATAATTCCATCCCAACAAGAGTTTGGAAAAATCCCATTAAGAAAGAGAAATCAAACATTTGGATTCATTTTAATGAGCTCAGACTTGTTGAAAATGCAGAGGAGCTGGTTGTGAACTGAGCTTCAGAGAAACACAACATACTGATATTCACTGTGAAGCTTTGAGTGGAAAAATCAGAAAGAAACAGCATGTGGAGCCTGGAATAATGGGAGCTTCCATCTTTAAAGGACTGAAGAGGAAGAAGTTTACAAGAACAGTTTAAAACATCAACTGATTGAATCCATGAATCTGAAAACGTGTTTCTGAGTGAAAGAGAGACATGTACAGTCAGAGTGTTTATCTAACAGGAGGACACTCTTTACACTCCACTCAGCACAGAGTCACTGAGGAATCAGGAAACCAGAGGTTAAATCCAGGATAAAGAGTTTCAGTGAATGTGGTTTTCAGGGTGTGCAGGTGGATCAGAGTGTCAGAGAAGGCTCTGTAGAAGGACAGAGTGCCAGCAGGACAGTCCACATACACTGCTACTCTGTTAGAGACAGAGGAAGAAGAGTTGATGGATATTGCTTTGTTGTTGTGCCTGACAGAATCAGGACCATCATCAGTGCAGTACAGACACCAGGACTGATCATTCCATCCAAAGATACACGCTTTACTGTTTCCTTTCCTTCTGACTCTTCTGTAAGTGACTGATATGAGAACCGTTCCTTTCCACTCGACCTCCCAATAACAGCGACCAGTCAGACCATTTCTACACAGCAGCTGAGTAAGTCGATCAAATCTGTCTGGATGATCAGGATATGATTGAACCTCCTCCACATGTGTCATCTTCCTGTCATTGTCAGACAGTTGGAGGCTTGTGTGAACTGTGTCTGTGTCGATTGTGAGTTTGCAGGAATCTGATGAGAGAACAAACACAATCCAGCTGCAGTTATTGATCCATCATCTGTTCATTGATCGACACTTTGATGATGACTCCTGACATCAGAGAGGTGAATGAGTGATGTGACAGTTTGAAGACAGTTGAATGTGTGCTGCTTTGTTTTCATGAATCACATTAAAAACACACTTACACTTCCTCAGACCTGGTGTCAACCACTGGACTCCAGCAGGCTCCACCCTGAAAGGAGGAGGGGGGTCAGACCAGCACAGTCTCTGTCAGCATGCACACATGGACATTACGTCGCTCTCATACACGTACCGTTAGACATTGATAAAGAAATAGTCCAACATTTTCACAAATTAACTTCAATCATACATGGATCAAACTGCTGATGATTTGGACTGATCCTGGATCTGTTAGTCCTTTGAAGGACTTGCCAAACTCTTCCGTGGTCATCATAATCCTTTGTCTCACTTTACTGATTACCTACAGAAAGTTACTCCTTCAGTCAGCAAGGAATAATCTACATTGCGTATGAGCACCACTTTTTAGATAAATGTGGGACTTACTGCTCCTTCCGGGAAACTTTTGCAGAGCTCTGTGAGAGAGGTTCCTTTAAAATCAACTGATATTATAGTTATTTAAGAAGTGCCACTTAGTGGTAACTAAGCAGAATGTCTTTTTTGTAGAGGAAGTGGTCTACAGGAAGTAGGAAGAAGCTCTTTAGCTGCTACAGTAAAAACATTTGTAATCTGATGGCAATCTCTGCAATCCTGCTGTTAAAGTCCACAATATCGGCTTCATCCGTAAGTTCCTATACATTTAATGTGTATTAGTAAGTTTTGACATTATTTTGAGTTAAATCACATGGAGGCAGATAGATGCTTGTATTTTTTTCAGCAGATGCTTAATTTGTGGTCATGTATCTTTCATTAGAGCAATGTTAGAGAATTTATTTTCATCATTAAATACTGCCAAACACAGCAAGCAGCCTGTTTCTTGGAGGATGAAGTGCTGGGAATAAAGAATGTTAAGCTAGCTGTATAGCTGAAATTACGTTGCCTGCAACAAACTTTAGTGAGGACAGCATAGAGCTATAGCCAGTTAAAATTATTGTTCCTGGGCAAGTTCTTGGTGTCCCAATTTGTAAGTATCTCTCAATTTTCTTGACAAAGTGGACTAATGTTTCTTTTGTGAGCATAGGAAAAAGGGAAAGAAATGTTGCCAGCTCCTCCTCTTCTATTAGACATTCTCCTCATACCTGAGAGTGTCTAGTCTCCAGGATGGATCCATCAATCCTGCCGACAGCAGTTTTATTCCTGAGTCTCCAGGTTGATTGTAGCTCAGATCTAGCTCTTTCAGATGAGAGGGATTGGAACTCAGAGCTAAAGCCAGAGAAGTACAGCCTTCCTCTGTGATCAGACAGCCTGACAGACTGAAAATACACCAAACAACAATTCATCAATAGAAAGCTCTCTTATGTACTTCATTTTTTTCTCATTTTCTTCAGTTGTCTTTTGCTTTATTTATAGTGAGACAACTACAACTATAATATTTGTTGTCTCTCTTTTTTTTTAATAATCCACATCTACTTTTGAAAACTCTAGGAACTATGTGTAGTTCGTGCATAACTGTACATTTCTGTTTCAAATTGATATCAAGGAAACAAAGGGCTTGTTTTTTTCTAAAATCATACCAATAACAATACAGATGCCTTTAACTAATGAGTGCAGTTCATAGATCAATCTGGCCTAATATTAGGAACACCTACACATATATTTGGTTGTTTCCCTGGCATACAGCTTGAGGTCATCGATTTGGAAGACGTGGTCATTAACTGCTCCATTCCATGACTGGCATCTGTAGCCAGCTGTTGATGGCAGAATGCAGAACAGAAGTGGCTGCCATGCTCATATTGTTCACGTGCTGGTAGCAACACACCCTGGAGGTTTCATGTGAAAACAGCTGATTTATTCTACTGGCTTCTTACTCTCTGATATGCTTCTTTAGGCAGTTAGCTAATCATCAGGTAAGGCCTTATTGCTTTGTATTTCATGGATGTCTTTGCTGCAGTTCTGATAGTTGACAAACTTTCCTTTATGGTTCATCTTGGCCTCTATACCCCTTCATGGAGGGTAATTCTCCTTGTGGATGTTTGTCTTTTAGCCAAAAATTTCAAGGATCACTGTTGATATGGTGTAGATCTGTTGATTGGTTTTTAGTGTTGGCCGTAGTAGAGATTGTCCATTAAGATGCACTCACATTTTCTAGTAAACTTTCTACTCCAGTCCAGGTTTTCAGCAAATGATTCCTTCAGATTGTCTGTGCGCAGAGTAAACAGACTAAACTAATTTAATACTGGATGCTTGTTATCTTTGGGTCTGAGTTGGCACTGTATTAACAACAGACTTGGTTTCTTCTTGAAAATTACTGCATGGGTCCACAACCACATCAGGACAGTGCCACCTGAGATTTCTGCAGATTCTTGGAAATTTTTTCACTAGAATTAAAAAAATAAAAAAAGTCTTCCCAACTTCAGTTGTTCCATAATTTGTAGACACAGTCTTGTTGATTTTTGTATCTGGACATAGCATTTTCAGTCGATGTCACTCATCCAAGTTTTTTAGTCTCCCTAACTTTATAAGTAGTACATTTGCAGAATTACTGTTTGACAAGTTAACTCTTTTGGCTGGATCACTAATCAAGACTCTACTTGTGTTTTAGAGCCCAAAATACCAGGTGACCTCAGGAAAAATCACTGACAAATGTGTCTCAGCATCTCTGTGGATGTATATACAATATACTTTTTATTTTGGCAATCTAGTTAAATGCCAAATGTTGCTTTCTCCTATTTTTCTACAGTCCTATCTCAGCCCTGACTTTAAGGTTCATAACAATAAAAGGAAACTAAAATGCTTTGAACACAAATGGCCCTAAATCTCTGAATGATCATTGCCTAAGTAATTTATACAAACAAATCTAAAACAGAATTTGCACATCAAACATTTTTAGATAGCAAATAAGAATCTCATCATGCATGTAAAATGTCAAAATGTAATTTTACATTTGTCTAAAGTTTAGCTGTACATGCAATAATAATTATCCAGAAATTCTGACTTTTGGAATTAAAGTGGAAAAGTTTGCTTACCTGAGAGTTTCCAGTGTACAACACAGACTCTGCAGTCCTGTAGAGAGCATCTTCACTCCTGAGTTGTGCAAGTTGTTGTTACTCAGATCCAGCTCTCTCAGATTAGAGGACTGTGAGCTGAGAACAGAGGTCAGAGCTTCACAGCTTCTCTCTGAGAGGTTACAGCCACCAAGTCTGAAACACAATAACATTTCTGACAAAAAAATCCACTATGGTTTACCTAAAACCTATTGTTGTCATCTGAGACTGAAGATGTCACTTGAATGACAAAACGTCCCTCCCAGTGAGACTATTACGTCCATATGAACAGAATCAACTTTACTTTAAGATTAATTCAGTAGTTGAGTATGAATACTTGTCTGTTTCTCTTTGTTAATCCTGCATTAGATTGGTGAAAAGCCCAAGGTATAGCCTGACTCCCACCGTTAAGGGTGATTGGATAAGCTCCAGCACTTCCACCCACTCTACACCTCGTGACCCGATAAGCAGGAGAAAATGGATGGATTCTCTGTTAAGTATTTTGAAAATGAAGGGATGAGCACAAATTTACTTACAGTGCTGTACTTGAGTTTTTGACCACTGGCAGCAGCCTCAGAAAAGCCTCCTCTGAAGCTGAGTAATTCTTCAGGTCAAACACTTCCAGATCTTTTTCTGATGACAGTAAGATGAAGGCAAGAGCTGACCACTGAGCAGGAGACAGTTCATCTGTGGACAGACTTCCTGAACTTGTGTACTGTTGGATCTCTTCCACTAGAGAAAGATCATTCAGTTCATTGAGACAGTGGAACAGATTGATGCTTTTCTCTGCAGACAGATTCTCACTGAGCTTCTTCTTGATGTACTGAACTGTTTCGGGATTGGTCAATGAGCTACTTCTTGTCTGTGTCAGCAGACCTTGTAGGAGAACCTGATTGGTCTGCAGTGAAAGACC